CCCATTACATTTGGAGATGCAGACAGTCATACGCACCATACACTGATTTTAGATATGCACGTGCAGTACGTGTACCCGGCATTGAGCAAACATCAAGTTTCAGTTAACTGTTCTTACAACTCCATAATTTTGAAAATTAAGTTATTGTGTTGCTGCTAAGCAGGTATGGAGCCTCCTCAACTGACAACTTCTCAAAGATGGTAAGTTGGTATGTGGAATGTGGGCATGTTATTGAAGGCTATTGCAAGAGATTCTGGTTGTCATCCATCGAATCTCAGCCGATTGTCCAGAAATCATCAGCAAATTAATGACGTTCAAGACCACATCCTCGACAGAATTTGTGTACATTTCGAGGGCCATCCTCTGAACTTTAGGGACGACAATGTTAGGCCACATCATCATCTTTCGGGCAGGAGACGGTAGCAACTCTACCCTGACCCACTAGGAGTCCAGATCTAAAGCCCGTAGAGCATGTTTTAGGCATAATTGGTCGCCGAATACGCCAGAGAGATACTATAAAAATATGTGTGTATACGTGTACATCCTATACACAGGCAGGTGGTAGTAACTACTGGTGTGATACACCTACATAGTGGGTATACGTGTACATCCTATACACAGACAGGTGGCAGTAACTACTGGTGTAATACACCTACATAGTGGGTATACGTGTACATCCTATAAACAGGCAGGTGGTAGTAACTACTGGTGTAATACACCTACATAGTGGGTATACTTGTACATCCTATACACAGGCAGGTGGTAGTAACTACTGGTGTGATACACCTACATAGTGGGTATACGTGTACATCCTATAAACAGGCAGGTGGTAGTAACTACTGGTGTAATACACCTACATAGTGGGTATACGTGTACATCCTATACACAGACAGGTGGCAGTAACTACTGGTGTGATACACCTACATAGTGGGTATACGTGTACATCCTATAAACAGGCAGGTGGTAGTAACTACTGGTGTAATACACCTACATAGTGGGTATACTTGTACATCCTATACATAGACAGGTGGTAGTAACTACTGGTGTAATACACCTACATAGTGGGTATACGTGTACATCCTATAAACAGGCAGGTGGTAGTAACTACTGGTGTAATACACCTACATAGTGGGTATACTTGTACATCCTATACACAGACAGGTGGTAGTAACTACTGGTGTAATACACCTACATAGTGGGTATACGTGTACATCCTATAAACAGGCAGGTGGTAGTAACTACTGGTGTAATACACCTACATAGTGGGTATACGTGTACATCCTATACACAGACAGGTGGTAGTAACTACTGGTGTAATACACCTACATAGTGGGTATACGTGTACATCCTATAAACAGGCAGGTGGTAGTAACTACTGGTGTAATACACCTACATAGTGGGTATACGTGTACATCCTATACACAGGCAGGTGGCAGTAACTACTGGTGTAATACACCTACATAGTGGGTATACGTGTACATCCTATACACAGGCGGGTGGTAGTAACTACTGGGTAATAATACACCTACATAGTGGGTATACGTGTACATCCTATACACAGGCAGGTGGTAGTAACTACTGGTGTAATACACCTACATAGTGGGTATACGTGTACATCCTATTCACAGGCAGGTGGTAGTAACTACTGGTGTAATACACCTACATAGTGGGTATACGTGTACATCCTATTCACAGGCAGGTGGTAGTAACTACTGGTGTAATACACCTACATAGTGGGTATACGTGTACATCCTATAAACAGGCAGGTGGTAGTAACTACTGGTGTAATACACCTACATAGTGGGTATACTTGTACATCCTATACACAGACAGGTGGTAGTAACTACTGGTGTAATACACCTACATAGTGGGTATACGTGTACATCCTATAAACAGGCGGGTGGTAGTAACTACTGGTGTAATACACCTACATGGTGGGTATACGTGTACATCCTATACACAGGCAGGTGGCAGTAACTACTGGTGTAATACACCTACATAGTGGGTATACGTGTACATCCTATACACAGGCGAATTGGTAGTAACTACTGGTGTAATACACCTACATAGTGGGTATACGTGTACATCCTATAAACAGGCAGGTGGTAGTAACTACTGGTGTAATACACCTACATAGTGGGTATACGTGTACATCCTATAAACAGGCAGGTGGCAGTAACTACTGGTGTAATACACCTACATAGTGGGTATACGTGTACATCCTATTCACAGGCAGGTGGTAGTAACTACTGGTGTAATACACCTACATAGTGGGTATACGTGTACATCCTATAAACAGGCAGGTGGTAGTAACTACTGGTGTAATACACCTACATAGTGGGTATACGTGTACATCCTATAAACAGACAGGTGGCAGTAACTACTGGTGTAATACACCTACATAGTGGGTATACGTGTACATCCTATAAACAGGCAGGTGGCAGTAACTACTGGTGTGATACACCTACATAGTGGGTATACGTGTACATCCTATACACAGGCAGGTGGTAGTAACTACTGGTGTAATACACCTACAGAGTGGGTATACTTGTACATCCTATACGCAGACAGGTGGCAGTAACTACTGGTGTAATACACCTACATAGTGGGTATACGTGTACATCCTATAAACAGGCAGGTGGTAGTAACTACTGGTGTAATACACCTACATAGTGGGTATACGTGTACATCCTATAAACAGGCAGGTGGTAGTAACTACTGGTGTAATACACCTACATAGTGGGTATACGTGTACATCCTATAAACAGGCAGGTGGTAATAACTACTGGTGTAATACACCTACATAGTGGGTATACGTGTACATCCTATAAACAGGCAGGTGGTAGTAACTACTGGTGTAATACACCTACATAGTGGGTATACTTGTACATCCTATACACAGGCAGGTGGTAGTAACTACTGGTGTAATACACCTACATAGTGGGTATACTTGTACATCCTATACACAGACAGGTGGCAGTAACTACTGGTGTAATACACCTACATAGTGGGTATACTTGTACATCCTATACACAGGCAGGTGGCAGTAACTACTGGTGTAATACACCTACATAGTGGGTATACGTGTACATCCTATAAACAGGCAGGTGGTAGTAACTACTGGTGTAATACACCTACATAGTGGGTATACGTGTACATCCTATAAACAGGCAGGTGGTAGTAACTACTGGTGTAATACACCTACATAGTGGGTATACTTGTACATCCTATAAACAGGCAGGTGGTAGTAACTACTGGTGTAATACACCTACATAGTGGGTATACGTGTACATCCTATACACAGACAGGTGGCAGTAACTACTGGTGTAATACACCTACATAGTGGGTATACTTGTACATCCTATACACAGACAGGTGGTAGTAACTACTGGTGTAATACACCTACATAGTGGGTATACTTGTACATCCTATACACAGACAGGTGGTAGTAACTACTGGTGTAATACACCTACATAGTGGGTATAAAGTGTGTCAGCACTGATTTTCAGCAAATCTTATGAAGTTCAATTTATATACTACATGTTTGTTGAATATTTTTGTGCATTACAACACAATTTTTGATATGCCTTAAAAATATTTTCTGAATCACATAATACTCATAACCACACCACATTAGCTTTCCAGTTTCTGACTCAATATCTTCTATCCATGTCAAACAAAACCCTGACATTTGCAGCTATATTTACTATATATTGACAACCATATTGTCATCAACCACCATTCATTGCAGGACAATAAATGCTTGAAAACAACTAGTCTCGATTTTCCAGTAACAACAACAGTAACAATTACATTAATGGATGGATTTGATGAAGACATCAATAATCAATGAGGGTTTGATGTTTGCCTAGATATATGTGAAACGTTATACCGAAATCTAAAGCCGTGGAAATTCCTGTCAGCAATCTGTGACCTTGGAAAAAAACTCTCAGAGGGGAATTTAGATATAAATAAAATAATGTATAAAGTTTAATAAATACACACAAAAAGAACATAACGGGTCCAAGATGTTTTCAATTTCTTTAATGTAAACTACAAAAACATTTCTATAATCAAAAGAAATCATTTTATCCAACTCAAAATGTATACAAAACATTTGCTAAAGCAGTTGACAGTTGAGCGTGATGATGCTTGTAGGTAACTCTGTGTCGTGATTTAGTATTACACAAAAATGTTTTGAGGAGAAAACATTTGTTGATTCGTTTGGTTTTATAGCACACGGGCCCAACTGTTTGCCCCCGGGGCTGAATTATGTTTAGTTGAGTTCAATTAGGTGTCAGGATATTGTAGAGGCACCTTTATGCGTTGATTTTTAAGCAGATGAAACTGAAAATCCTCGCCTCGTTACCCAAACTCACTCCAACTCATACAGCCCACACACTCACACAAGTCAATCAAATGCGCAAGCATTTTGTGTGTAGTTTTTGCAGAAAATACTGTGACTTGGAAAGGGCTAAACATACTTGAATTAACAGCTAACAAAATAAGTTATTCTCCATTTTTTTAATTATAGTAATCACCATGGACGTAACTCCCTGAGTAACACCAACCATGACGTGCTCCACATCATCAATGAGAGATTTGTATATGTATTACCCCAAAGGGAACAACAGAATGAATATAAATACCCTGAAGACGTTCCTATACCCCTATGCTATGACACGCTACTCTAACAGCGACCAGTACATTCAGTAATGGCGTGAGGGATGTCAAAGCCAGTCGGAAGTATTCTTATTACAAATAACATAAAATATAATAATATAATAATATAATAGCATGCTTGTAATGCGCTGTTCTCCATGTACAACATGCTCAAAGCGCAAAAATACACATATTACTATGGGTCTCTGGTGACATGATTATGGAAATGTGACACTGACTTCATTTCGGGATAAAACGGATGCTCCAGTCACAGGACACCAACATGTGGTACCTTATCGACCAGCCCAACCTCAACTTCTTCCTTCTCCTGTTTGCCACTAGACACCTCTGACTGTTTCCTCTTCTTGTTTACACCCCCCCATTTCAACTCGTTCTCTCTTTGAAATTTTGTTATCATCGTGCTTAGTGCATTTCAAATAAATGGTATAGCCAATAGCCAACACGAAGAGCGGAAGTGGGGTCATTACAGCGGAAGCTAAAGGTCCGACAGCGGCAAGATCGCCATCTGGTGGCGGCAGGGCCAGCTGCAACATGAGGTAGGCGACCATTACATTCTGTATGCCAGTCTCTATTGCTATTGTCTTGACTCTGTACCACGGCTGGCGGAACATTAACCCGACCAGCCCGCCGATGATGTAGCCACAGTACGGCAGCAAGCACCCGGCCAGGAACGTGGACGGTTTGAACAGCCTGAAGATGAAGAGGTTGGCGTAGATGCCGAAGGTGAGCAGGATGACGATGGTGATCAACGTGACCGGCTTCAGGACTTTGACGATGACAGCTGCTACCTTCTGAAACTTGTACTTTATGATGATGCCAACAAAGATGGGCAGGATGACTGATGCCAGCGTCTGGATGATGTTGGCGTAAGGGATGTTGATCTGCATCTTGTCGTCGTGAAACTGCTGACCCAGTGTGAACATCCACAGAGGAACCATACCTGGGGGGAAAGGTCAAACTTCTTCAAGCAAGCATAATGTTCAATGACCAAACGTACACCCGCTTAAAGGATATATTTTACGAACACTTCGGTCAGTTCACATGGTGGTCACAAAGGCGATTTCAATCTCTTCGTTCGCCGTCTAATCTGAGCTGACAATGCACTTCAGATTTGGTATATTGCTGATCCTCTAACTGTACACATATGACATTATCAATTACGAAGTAGGGAGAATTCAATGACATTCTAATTATTATTAATCGAGAAGCCTTAATTTTTATGTAGACATAGATTGATCGCTTGTACGGTGACACAAGCATTAACTGAAAGGTAGTGATATTAGATTACTTTGTTCGTTGGGGTTTTCAGAGACTATAAAATACAAAGACAAATGGTATTGTTTATGGCAAGAATGTGACTCGTGTTGCAGCATATATTCAAGCGATGTTGGACTAAACTTGATGGACAGATATTTGCATCAGTATCTGTGTTTCAGCCGTACTGTTACACACTGGAGATCTGGTGTACGATATATTTACCTAGTGCTCCTATATTACTGATGGTTGTCATGGTAGCAGACAGCGACAGGTCCCCACCAAGGAGGTAGGAGTAGATGTTGCTAGCCCCACCCCCTGGGCAGATCCCACAGGCAAATATCCCCAGCCCCACGGCGGGGATATCAAACGTCACAAGCTTAGCCACACCAAAGGCAATCTGAAAGAACAAATATCAAAGACTGCAATGACTTTGATTGCGTTGTGCGAACAGAGGGTAAACGAGAATGGTGTTTGATTTGCCTTTCACAAGTAACTGAGTGCGTGTTGAATCAGTGTTTTAAGCAACGCAGAAATTTACTTCCAATAGGCGCTAATGTATAACAGAAAATAACAAACCATTTATTGCGTACTGATGGACACTTAAGTATATTCACTATACTAAGGCTTTGAATAGAAAAACAAAGGTACTGTTATAAAAAATGTTAACGGTTCCGTAGGCTACACCATTTCATTACTTCGCATATTCCCAATAACAAAACTTGAAGTAAGTGATTTGGGGTCCTCTCAACGCCTAGTTTTGTAGGTTAAGGCAAAATCCTGCTGATCGGCTTCCCTTGTTAACGACTGCCTGTAATTGGTAAAAAGTAAATGGGTACATTTTGTGGACAAGACAACGGATCCATGTCGTTGTAAAGTCAATGGGTGCATGTTGTTGTCAAGTCAATGGGTGCATGTTGTCAAGTCAATGTATGCATGTTGTTGTCAATGGGAGCATGTTGTTTACAAGTCAATGGGTGCATGTTGTTGTCAATGGGTGCATGTTGTTGACAAGTCAATGGGTGTATGTTGTTGACAAGTCAATGTATGCATGTTGTTGACAAGTCAATGTATGCATGTTGTTGACAAGTCAATGTATGCATGTTGTTGTCAATGGGTGCATGTTGTTGACAAGTCAATGGCCGCATGTTGTTGACAAGTCAATGTATGCATGTTGTTGTCAATGTATGCATGTTGTTGACAAGTCAATGTATGCATGTTGTTGTCAATGGGTGCATGTTGCTGACAAGTCAATGTATGCATGTTGTTGACAAGTCAATGTATGCATGTTGTTGTCAATGGGTGCATGTTGTTGACAAGTCAATGGGTGCATGTTGTTGACAAGTCAATGTATGCATGTTGTTGTCAATGTATGCATGTTGTTGACAAGTCAATGTATGCATGTTGTTGTCAATGGGTGCATGTTGTTGTCAATGGGTGCATGTTGACAAGTCAATGTATGCATGTTGTTGACAAGTCAATGTATGCATGTTGTTGACAAGTCAATGTATGCATGTTGTTGACAAGTCAATGGATGCAAGTAGTTTTTCACGGTCAAAGAAATAGTTGTTCACATGGACATGGCACCATGTTGTTGTTCACCAGTAAATCTAAGCTTCTTGTACACGTGTGCGTGTGTCTGTTCGTCCTATTCAAATATATTCCATGTGGGCTTGGACACTATGAGGTGACGGTGATGGACTCACCCTGGTGACACGCTGTAAACACCCACATCTGTGTATAAATCGGTCCTTGCTATGTACGTCTCAGTGTATTGTTCCCTGCTACACGGGGAAGGGGTGAGGGCGCTACACGTATATCTACCACTCGAATATGACACAACTGTGATTTACATTTTAAACAGCACATGATTATGAATGACTCTGTGTACATGCGTGAGCAAAATATATTCACAAGCATAAAAAAAAAAATGTGTGTTTATAATGTGAGCATGCGTGCATATTCGTGTGTGGGTGTTAGCGAGAAGTTATGTGTGCATGTGTATTTGTATAAATCTGCCAATGCGTGAATGTGTTCTAGTTTGATCATGTTTGCGTGTGCGTGTGTATGTGCGTGTCTGTTCCACTGCCTGACAAAAACTTACCAAAGGCATGACGAGATATTGGCAGAAGAAGCCAACAGCTGGAGCCACGGGTTTTCGCAGCACCGATTTGACCACGCCCAGCTCGATCTTACATCCCATTCCTATAGTGCTGGCGATCACAAACAAGTACATGACTACATTAAACACGGTGTCGATAGGCCGGGCGTTCCGTGTGACAACGATCATGTATCTCTGTACATTATTCTCCGGTTGGCCTGTCGTTGTTTCCGTGTCGGACTGTGTTTCTTGAGGTGAAGACCTATTTCGATCTGTTTCAAACACGAGCCACGTTCTCCCTATAAGATCTGAGCGTAAGTTGATGCTGAATGTTCCCGAGACACGAGTTGACTTTTCCAAGGGAATGGCCCGACTTGCCAATTTGGATATATTATTGCACCTTATGCTGAAATCCCCAGGCTGTGCTAGGAAAGCCACCTTGTTCTCTGTTGTGTATACACTGAGATTGTAAACTCTGTCCGGGGAGTCGCAGACGATGAAGTAAGACACGTTGAGAATGGCGCTGGCTTCCATGAACATGTGGACTGAGGGCGAAGGACTCACAGAAATCCTGAAATCTGACGTTGTATTGTATGTCGAATTGAAGGAGATGTCCGCGTTTGTCCATGGTATATACAGGAAAGTGTTGTTTGTTGATGATGCTGCAACGCTGAGTAGGAGGGTCAGACACACGACGCTTACCACGTGCATATTCATTTCGGAATGAACTAGCATGAAGAATCACAGGACGCTTTAACACTAGATAGTGTTACATATACAGTTCCGTTGAGTCCAGTCCAGAATGTCGTGCAAACCTTCATGTGCACTGAATAAGGCTATGCAGTAAAATATGCTATTTGGTCGTTATGATAAATACCATGGACGTAACGCAGCTCCCTGTATGACTCCAACCACGATAAGCTGCCACACAGGATGTTATATGTTCCACATCAACTGGAGAAGTGTTGTCATGGTCGCAGATATCCCATGATGTCAACAACATGCTTATCTCCTCCCGGACTGACCGCTGGGACCAGTCTGTCGCCGAGTGTCCCTCAAAACTGCCCAGGCGAAGGTCACAGATAAAGACATGAGGTGGGGCTTTGTCTGCCCCCGGCCCTGGTGGCCTGTTGACGCTCTACACCTGTACGCGTAGTATGTTAGGTAACACGTTGTATCAGTTCATCAGGTTGATAAGACACGCTGATTACTCGTGAGGCATGGAAGAAAAGTAAACTAGGAAGTGATTTAACACCCCTTGAACTATATTCAATTTATATCATGATGTGCCAACTTGACATGAAAGAACAATCCGAAATAATGCGTGTGTTCTTCCACCTCTCCATCTCTCATCCCACCTCTTCACGACCGCTCCACCAAACAGTCCATGTACCCCCACCTCTACTTGTAGCCTCAGTCTCTCTATAGCTCCATGCCACCCTCTCATTACCCCTCTTCACTCCTCCATGACTCCAATCCCTGAATCCCCCATTCTCTCCATGACTCACGCACTCTCTCCATGACTCACGCACTCTCTCCATGACTCACCTATTCTCACCATGACTCGCCTACTCTCTCCCTGAATCCTAATTCTCTCCATGACTCCATTCCCTGAATCCCCATTCTCTCCGTGAGTCCATTCCTTGAATCGCCATTCTCTCCAGACTCCCCCTTTCTCTGAAGGACACTTCAGCTAACAACACCATGACTCTTCTTCCACCCCATGGCAATATACTTGTATGACTAACCCTGCTACCCATCAATATGTATGATTGTCGTTTCAATATTGAAGCTCATGATCAGCAGTCACATACTTTTTAGCAAATGTATTCAACCACTTGTCGCCATATTCACACAATCGCAATATTATAATTGATTTTATCGAGCGGAAAAAAATGGAGCTATTAAGTTTCCTCCAATAACATCCTCATGAATCACACATCTATTCGACTGTGTGTTTGTGTGTCTATACACGTGTGTGTTTAGGCACACCTTCATGCACTGTTAACCAACCTCGCCCCTAGTGTCCATGTTGTTCAGAATACATTGTTGTTCCAGTAAACCCATATACTTGTAACAGAATAAAGGGTGGCTGACCCTAATCCTCGTTGCCCTCTGGTAAACAAACTCTGAGATATGGCTACAGTACCGACCGGTTAAGTAAACAGCGCTGACCAGGGGGGCAGACGAATCTTGGATCGCTACATGCACATTGTTTGTTAAGTCAGCATGTTGGTGAATCACACAACTTATTGCATTAAAATATATTGCGTTGTGTCTACGTATCGTCTTCTGTTATTTCTGTGTGTACATCCATGATGATGTGATGACTACTACGACGACGACGATTTCTTTGATGATGATGATGATGATGATGATGATGATGATAACACCGATGATGAGTGCAGCTGGGTACTTTGTTGACGTTCTTGACTATGATTGATTATCCTAAGACTGATGACCAGCGTCGTACATGTTTTCAAGCAACCCCTGGCCTCCGCTGGTCACACACGGCTGCCTGAACAAACACACGATGTGACGGCTCACCGTGGTCACTCCCCTCCTGAAGCCGTCCCTGCGCCCCAGGTAGTGTACCTGTCTGTCACCACCACTGAACCACACAGGCCACCTGGGCCACGTACAATGCTTGCCGATGGACTTTAAATTAATTTATACAACAATCCATCGTAAATCACAGGGGCCAGTGAACACACACGCATGTTTACCATGAACGTCTTATAAGTCTAACGATGCAACAAATAGCTGGCAGCCTATATGGTGGTTTTGCACATATATTGACACTAAGACTCGCTAGACAACGATATATGGCACGTTGTAGAGTTAATGTACATGAATTGACATTTCCAACAGAAGTCGTTCATGAAGGACATACGCTACTGCCTGAGTAGTCATGGCAGAACTATTAATAGTCTAACGTTACCCCAGTCATCGCCTAAAACACTGCTAATTAAGTCAGTCAAGCCCATGAAAACCGGAAAAGGTCTGAATTTGAGTCGTGCACACCGACAAGTGTTGAGAATATCTACAAACAACCATGTGAAATACCAGGGTTGTTATCCTTGCTTAAACAATTGTGCTTCAGTATCTTGTTATATTGAACCACAGTAAATAGGAGCAAAAATAGATTTTGTAAAAGTGGAGTGACACAGTCTCTAAAGTATGCCAGCTGAATAATAATAACAATAAAGACGGGTAGCGATGGAAATGGTGTGTTAGGACTTTATTCATTGGCCGCTTCTAAAATTGTTCAGGATGCTTTTTTGTTAGTAATCCATGCATAAACTATCACCACTCACCAGTAATGTGAAACATCTTTATTTGTTTCAGACTTTTGGGGGCATTTTTGCTCAAAGTTACCTTTCCAATATTTATCGATAATTGATAATTTAGTTAATGATCATCGATGTCTATTATATATATATATTGATAGCCAGCTCCAGATGAGATAAAGATGGGATGTGATGAAGACGGGTTGTGATGGAAACGTTTTCAATGTGATGGTTGCTATATTTCCGTAGACAAAAGAACAAAGGATTTTCCTTTGGCCGCGAACATCGGTGCCTAAAGTATTACACGTACTTTTCTGCCGGCCAGACACGACCACAATGCTGTTACTGCTCGCATCTGGCCGTGAGTATATTTTACGATGCTTCACTAACGTTGTTGTCACTATTCCCCTGTTTTGGCCCTCGGGTAATATTTCCCTTTAAACAAGTGTATTTAAATCATTTGGCATCATGTAGTGTCCGTTCATAAGGTAGTCATTCACACCCTTGTCCTGCCGCCTTATGTTTGTTGTGTGTGATGTGGTCCATTGTCTGAGGCCCGTGTTTACCACAGTCAGATGGGGATAGCAGGCTGGTTCGTATATCTATCAACACTTGACGGAAACTGTTACACACATTTTACAAAACAAGCCACTAGAAATCACTTCGTTCCATGACAAGTAAACAGAAAATGCATAATTTCTGACAGGAATAGTTCATACAAGGTACACATGGAACACCTCCGATCCACGATGTGGATTAAGTGGCGTATATGTGTAGGAAAAACGAACAATATATGGTATGTTATCAGTAAGGTTCATTTATTTATTTATTTACATTTCACGACAAATGATCACAACTTCATTCCCGGTCACAAACTTAAATTAAGAACATGAGAACACTCGCTATACAAAGAGTTGCTGGTATATACACATAGGGTTTTTACAGTAGCAAGATATACAGAGTAATCATAGATTTCATCACTATTTAAATATCCCATAAATCATTTACATATCAAATATTAATGAGGAAATTAAAAAAAAACATTTCATAATTATTTTTTCATTTCAGCCAAATTGTTTCACTGGATAACAAAATGTGAGTTGCATAGAAACGACAAGTGATGTAACATGTTACACTCAGAGATTTGAATAACGCTGACGTCATGATATCAAAGATATTGACAAAGCTCTTCTTAACATCTTCACAAATCGTGTAATGAAGCGATGATACTAAATATTAAAGTTATTTTACGAAATCTTTTCACAGGTAATAAAGTTTCACTGATTTTTCGCCAGGTTTTTCTGCCGATTCGCTGCCTCTAAGGGAACACTTATAGTGATGCTCGTTTTGGTTAAGAGAATTGGAATGTTCATCGCCGATGTCTGTAAATATGACGTCACCATTGTGTAAAACACGACCAAGCAGGAAGCGCTGTGATATTCCGTCACGTGACAAGTCCAGCTCTGGTCTCGCCAATGAAAATTCAATCCCCTTTCCAGAGTTGATGAAGTCGTAGCCTGAGCAACAACAAAGAAAGGTCATATCAGCTGTGACAATTAAGGGATGGGCAGATAATCTTTACTTCCTATCACACAAATATCACAAATATAATCACCTTCACATTTAGAATACTTCATACATACACACATACATACATACATACATACACCGACACACAACAAGAGGCTGTCGTCATGGTACGGAATATTTGGAATTATGAAACAATGATCATATGTTTTTGTGTCAAATGTGAATGAGAGTTTAATGATAAATGATGCCATGTTGATGCGATATTGTTCGTATGTTCATCAACAATGTGTGGTAAATATGTACTGGAAAAGCTACATACCTCGTATCTCTCCGCCAATTTCCGTCATGGTGGTCGGACTGTTTCCGGAACATTTGGAAAAGTCCACTGCCATCCGAACTCGTCGACCCTTCTTCAACGATGACCTCAGAAAACCAAACGTCTTGATTCTCCTCACATTCTTGAAAGGGTCCGTGGAGAATTTCACATCCCCGGAACTGTGAATGACATCAGAGGTAAACAGTTACTGTACACCTTTCTTTGAGAACATGGATATTTCAAACGCCTTTTCTTAAACTACAAATGTAATTGGTCCCGATTTCAGGAAGACCATTGAACAACATGGGTTCGTCTGCAGGTTTAAATTTTAAGATTAACAGATAATTACCTAAATGGTCGACGACTCAGGCATTTATCGAACCCTTTTAAGGGTATTCAAGAAGTTGGTGAATAAATAACGTAAAGCATGTATAACAACTTGTGGAAATTCATTTTACGACAATCCAGGTGAGGTGCTTTATAGACTGTTAAGTAAACATGAAGGAGCTTATACTGGTTGAAAGTCACTTTAGTAAGCAAGAAAACGTTAACATGAATCCATAACGCTATAAACATGACGATTATGAAGGTGTACATGCTATTATGCAGGCATCTGTTTGATTGTGCGTAAAATGAGGCTAACCCAACTTCAGCAGGTGTACGGGTGTTTAACATGAAACTAGCAATAGTTCTGTATGTATCTCCGAGTATTATACATTAAACCGGCACGGATTCAGTAGGTGTCTGGGTGTTAAACATGAAACTAGCAATAGTTCTGTATGTATCTCCGAGTATTATACATTAAACCGGCACGGATTCAGTAGGTGTCTGGGTGTTAAACATGAAACTAGCAATAGTTCTGTATGTATCTCCGAGTGTTATACATTAAACCGGCACGGAGTCAGTAGGTGTCTGGGTATTAAACATGAAACTAGCAATAGTTCTGTATGTATCTCCGAGTGTTATACATTAAACCGGCACGGAATCAGTAGGTGTCTGGGTGTTAAACATGAAACTAGCAATAGTTCTGTGTGTATCTCCGAGTATTATACATTAAACCGGCACGGATTCAGTAGGTGTCTGGGTGTTAAACATGAAACTAGCAATAGTTCTGTATGTATCTCCGAGTGTTATACATTAAACCGGCACGGATTCAGTAGGTGTCTGGGTGTTAAACATGAAACTAGCAATAGTTCTGTGTGTATCTCCGAGTGTTATACATTAAACCGGCACGGATTCAGTAGGTGTCTGGGTGTTAAATTTAAACATGAAACTGGCAATAGTTCTGTATGTATCTCCGAGTGTTATACATTAAACCGGCACGGATTCAGTAGGTGTCTGGGCGTTAAATTTAAACATGAAACTGGCAATAGTTCTGTGTGTATCTCCGAGTGTTATACATTAAACCGGCACGGATTCAGTAGGTGTCTGGGCGTTAAATTTAAACATGAAACTGGCAATAGTTCTGTATGTATCTCCGAGTGTTATACATTAAACCGGCACGGATTCAGTAGGTGTCTGGGCGTTAAATTTAAACATGAAACTGGCAATAGTTCTGTATGTATCTCCGAGTGTTATACATTAAACCGGCACGGATTCAGTAGGTGTCTGGGCGTTAAATTTAAACATGAAACTGGCAATAGTTCTGTTTGTATCTCCGAGTGTTATACGGATTCAGCAGGTGTACGAGAGCTATGAATAACTCTACCACTACTTCAGTGTGTTAACGTTTCTGCACGTAGGATGTCTATCCTGGTTAATGGTAATATTTATATAATCGTTCTGTTAATTTACCTGAGTAATGTCAGTGACACAACATGGCAAAGGAAGTGAGGCCTACTTATAATAAGCTCAGCATATTTTTTTAGAAAGGTCAAAGCATCTTAATAGGCCAGATCCCTGATTGTGGCGGATGTAGGACTTGGTGGCGGCGGAAGCCACTTGAGGCTCTACCAGTATGTACGTTTCACACCGCAGTACTAATGAATCATGCCGTATAGTCAGCGATGAAGATGCGCCATTATGTGATGTAGCTGGCTCAGCCAGGGTTGTCGGTTCATCGTGATATAGCAGTGTGCGTCTGTGCATTTCGACAAGTCATGCAATCATTACGTCAATGTACAATTCTACATATTTATGAGTCATAATAAGATTATTGAAATGTGTAATGTCATGTATCAGTCACGACAAAGTGATCTGGGTTTGGAATATAAAGGCTTAATTAGACTCTGGTAATTCACCGTTAAATAACGTGGTTCTGTGTTTGCTGATGCATGTGTGTGTGCCGGTTGTTGTGGGCGTGTGTGTGTATGGTACGGCGGGTATTCACATGAAGCACAACGGGTTAAATACACTGACAGACGTGCAGACATACCTAGATGCATACCTACAGACACACACACCCACACAGACACAAACCTACACCACACAGGCACACGCACACAGGCACACGCAGACGCACACACAGACACAAACCTACACTACACAGGCACACGCACACACAGTACAGGCACGGAAATACACCAAACAAACCAGCGAGTGAGTGAGTTTAGTTTGCCGCTTTTAGCAATATTCCATCAAGGCGGGGAACACCAGAACTGGGCTTCACACGTTGTACCTATGTCGGGAATCGAACCCGGGTCTTCGGCCTGACGAGCGAACGCTTTAACCACTAGGCTACCCCGCCTCTAAAGAAACCACAAACATCTTTCAGCACACCAATACAAGCCCCACCCAATATCCGTTGTCATTAAATCGGAAAGCTAGTATATTATTTGACATCATCTACTTTTTCGGTGACCCGTGAAGGTCCGAGTTAGAATATTGATCTTCAGTAACCCATGCTTGTCGAAAGAGGCGACTAACGGGAAAGGGTGGTCAGGCTCGCTGACTTGGTTGACACATGTCATCGTTTCCTTATTGCGTAGATCGATGCTCATGCTGTTGATCACTGGATTGTCTGGTCCAGACTCGATTATTTACAGACCGGCGCCATATAGCTGGAATATTGTTGAGTGCGGCGTAAAACTAAACTCACTCACTTTTTCGGTTTTACTGATACATTGCCAACAAACCAAAATGACCACTCGCGATATAAGTATCGTAATGAATACGCACATACTGACCGTACTGCTGATCGTATTGCTGAGAAGTTCGATAACATCAGCACTGCCAAAAGCTTAAGTACACGGTTGAGTGTTTGAACGCGCTTTCCGACATAATGCTTATTTCGGACATGGTCCCACGTGTCTACTGGTGTGTCTTCATGCCAATGTGCCTGAGTGTCTGTATGTATGTGCCTGTGTGTCTGTATGTATGTGTTTGTGAGTCTGTATGTATGTACCTGTGTGTCTGTGCCTGTGCTTGCCTGTATGTATGTGCCTGTGTATGTCTGCATGTATGTACCTGTGTACCTGTACGTATGTGCCTCTGTGTGTCTGTATGTATGTACCTGTGTGTCTGTATGTATGTGCCTGTGTGTCTGTATGTATGTGCCTGTGTGTCTGTGCCTGTCTGTGTCTGTATGTATGTGCCTGTGTGTCTGTGCCTGTGCTTGCCTGTATGTATGTGCCTGTGTATGTCTGCATGTATGTTCCTGTGTACCTGTACGTATGTGCCTCTGTGTGTCTGTATGTATGTACCTGTGTGTCTGTATGTATGTGCCTGTGTGTCTGTATGTATGTGCCTGTGTGTGTCTGCATGTATGTGCCTGTGTGTCTGTGCCTGTGTGTGTCTGTATGTATGTGCCTGTGTGTCTGTGTCCGTGAGTGTGTGTCTGTATGTATGTACCTGTGTGTCTGTATATCTGTGCCTGTGTGTGTCTGTATGTTTGTGCCTGTGTGTCTCTATGTATGTGCCTTTGTGTGTCTGTATGTTTGTGCCTGTGTGTCAGTATGTACCTGTGTGTCTGTGCCTGTGTGTGTCTGCATGTATGTACCTGTGTACCTGTACGTATGTGCCTGTGTGTGTCTGTATGTATGTGCCTGTGTGTCTGTGCCTGTCTGTCCGTATGTATGTGCCTGTGTGTCTGTGCCTGTGTGTGTTTGTATGTATGTGCCTGTATGTCTGTCCCTGTGTGTATCTGTATGAATGTGCCTGTGTGTCTGTGCATGTGTGTGTCTGTATGTATGTACCTGTGTGTCTGTATATATGTGCCTGTGTGTGTCTGTATGTATGTGCCTGTGTGTGTCTGTATGTTTGTGCGTGTGTGTCAGTATGTACCCCTGTTTCTGTGCCTGTGTGTGTCTGTATGTATGTACCTGTGTGTCTGTGCCTTTGTGTGTCTGTATGTATGTTTCTGTATGTGTGTATCTGTGTGTATGTGCCTGTGTGTCTGTGCCTGTGGGTGTCTGTATGTATGTGCCCGTTTGCCTGTATGTCGATAGGCAGGAGATCATCCAGACAGTGGAGAAACTCACCTGGCGTCATAATCATAGATCCTGCAGCTTGCTGCGTATGTAACTGGGACCCTGTCTGGTTTTGTCATACGCAGTCGCACGATCACTTTGCCATTGCGGAAGACTGTAATTTCTCTCACAGCAGTTTCGTATCCTTCAAAATAGATACACGTACATCTAACTTATGTCTGCTGAAGTATTCAACTTTTATCACCTGACAAGGATACAGCGATGGTACATTACACGAGAACATTATTCTGATCTCAGAGCACACGCTGCCACACACTGTGAACATATTAAGTACATTCAAGCAGATAGCAAATATTTTCCGAGAGTTGATTAAATACATCAGGTATAAGACGTTATTTTTATCTGTTTACATCGGAAGAGCTCCCAAATATATCATCAACATCAATGCTACGGGAGCCGAGTGAATAAAAATGTTTTTACGGCGCTCCTACCAATATTACAACACACCGACAAAACATGGTTGTCAGCATAACTCCTACATCCATTCTTTAATTTGGACGCCAATACACAGTAATCAAACAAATATAGATAAAATTCACATACCTCTGGAACTTTGCTGAAACTTTCGTTGACTAAACTTGATAAACTCTCTCCGTCTCCCCCTCATTTGCTTTACATGCTCGAAGACGTCGATGGCGTCCCCGAAAGATGTTCTCTCGATCTTTGCCTGGGAAGGCAGCATACATCGTGACAACTCCATGATAAAGTATACCGCCCGACCGGAACTCAGGGCATCCAGAAGTCCCCGGAAGGTGCGCAGTGTCCATGCGCTGTTGGATGTTGGGATGCTACTGAGGTAGGTGGTTTGCTTCCGATGCTTATGACTGAACTTAGGGTTCTTCCGCCTCATGTATTTAGGTCGGTCTTGGGGCAGATCGTTTTGTATCAGGTGCCTGGACATGCGCACTCGGGGACTGACTGCACGTGGAATATATCTGAAACACAGTTACAGGTTTTCATTTAGAACATGAAAATAAATTCACATGTCTTTCTTTGTTTCACTTCTTAGAACATAACAGTAAGTATACTATCTACATTTGTTTTTATTTATTTATAAATTTACAACTTTCTTAGTCACTATATGGCTGAAATACTGCCGATGTGTCTTTAAATTTTAACTCACTCACTCACTAAAACATAGCAAGGTCATTTCATGACATCTTAGATTTGACTGTTTTCCCACCATACACATGGTATTGAGGTGTTAACACTGTTCCAGCAGGCTGTGCAGAATACCATTTGTTATTGACTCCATAATACAACCACTACTACAATGCTGAAGAGAATACGTATAAATCCGACGTTCACGTGCACATCTCTATATATACCTGGATCCTGACATCTTCTTGACCTTGATCAGGTTGTATGGCACCTCAATCTCCATGACCTTGGCACCGTCCTTGACCCTGTACCAACCCTCATGAGTTGTTAGCATCTTTGAGGTCAAAGTCGACGATACAGAAATTCTTACCTGAAAGAAAAAACAATCTGATAAGTACAGCTGACAATGATGAGTGTATGGTCTTGCCAATGATATAAACAATAAATGATAAGCGCATTCAGGAAATAGTCACATACTGTTATCAAATGCCTTTGTGTCAGTGATTTGTTTAGGGGCAGTGGGGTAGCCTAGTGGTTAAAGCGTTCGCTCGTCACGCCGAAGACCCGGGTTCGATTGCCCACATCAGCACAATGTGTGAAGCTCATTTCTGGGCTATTGCTAAAAGCGGCGTCAAACTATACTCACTCACAATAATTCGACTGCTTCTATTTCAGTATGGTAGAAACAACAATACTCCTCACTGTTAAAAAGAAATACTTGCCACATATATTAATAAATACATTTGCGGGAATATATCCACATAAATATTTCTGTAATGATAGGTTATTATTTTACCAGCCACCAATGTACAGAATGTCTGCACCAGGTTGTCAGTCAGACTCCTCTGTTAGGTAAAACGACCTTTGCGTCATGTCACCGCTTTGTTGAGAGTGTGTTTTGGGCCTACATCCCGGAACCGAGATCCACCTCTCCCTCTCACCAGGCTTAAACTGACGGCGACCTTCACTGGGGGTTACCTAAAGGGCACGCTTGGGGATTGTGTGTGTTAGTTTTTGTGGCGGGGCTCGCAATGATTGCATGTAATTGGGTTATTTTAGTGATTTACAGTCAGATATCGTCTTTGATTTATGTCTTTCAGTTTCCTTCATTTGTGTTGACACATCGCTGGCGTATTTTGCTAACATGTGATGGTACATTATGGCAATACCTCATATACATAGTCAGAATGTGCAACCTGTTGTGCAGTTCAGAACTGCATTGAGGAAACAAAATGTGATCACACACAAGTGTGATAAGGGACTTAACATGATTAATATAACTAAGTTTGCGAAAAACTAAAAATAACAGTGATAACACTAGCTCGTGGTGTTTATACTCTCTGTGCATGAACCGACTAAAACCACACATTCGCGAATAATTTTATACGCATAATGACGAAATCCTCTCGTAGATACTCGAGTATACCCATTGTTTGGAACCTGTATTATACATAAATATTGCATATGCCTCGTGTGGAAACTGTATTGTACACAGCTGTTGTATATGCTTCGTGCTGAAACTATATAATGCAGCACAATTGTATATGGATCGCGTTATTACTGTGTTATACACAACTATTGAACACGTGTCGTGCTGAAACTGAACAGATGGAGTTTAGCAGGAATGTGTTATCGTGCTGATGGTGTTTAGGGTGCTGACGGTGTTGAGGGGGCTGACGATGCTGATGTGTATGACAATGGGGAGACTGTTGCCCCTGACAGACTCACCGGTTCCCGTCTCACGCTACCCAGGCATCCGCGTCCGGTTGCACCGACAAATGTCCTCTTCTTTAACTTCCTCCAGAACATATCACATCCTTGTTGTGTCACCACGTCGGATAAACTGAGATTCCTCAACAGATTCAGGTTTCTGGAGAACTTGGGAATCATTGAAGCATTGGCAAAGTTGAAGGTTCTCAAGCGTATTGCGCGCTGAGTCTCATCCACAGAGAAACTCTCCAACCTTTGACGATAGGGAACACTATCAGCGCCGCTGTACTGCTCAACAAACACACTGAAGGAATGTCCGAGGAAGGAAACATCTACAGGACGGATGACGGTCTTCATCAACATGTGGCCTTTAGCTGGCGGGACCCCTGCCTCCGCCATATACTGCTTGGAGTTGCTGTACACGCCAGGCAGCAGCTCGGATAACACTGACAAATCTGCTTCCAACGATAAACCATTCACAAGAAGCCCCTCCAAGGCAAACAGACACAAAAGTACATGTCCAAGTTTTCCACCGCGCAAGACATCCATGTTGAGACGCTTTAAATACCCGCGAGCCAGACGAGCACGCTGAAATAACAGACTGATTCTTTGATAACTGCTCGGAGGCTGGCATTTATACCGCGCTACATCCTCTCCTGAAGAGGCATTTCCTCGCTGTATCAATGAACGTTGAAAATACTCCAATTATTAACTCTTAAAGCAGCTCACATCCTCCCAATCCCATTCACAAAATACTACATATTTCCATATGTGGAGACCTTTGCGTGACGTCATGTAAGACATCCGCTGCAACTTAAGGTCTGCACCAGTCTCGTGCCTGCCTCCCCAACCTGATAAAAACCACAAGACTCGCGCAGGAAACGTAGGAGGTCGTCCACCGTGCAGCTTTACAATCCTTACTACGTTGTTGTTTCAATGTGTGTGTGTGTTCTATACTACCTGGCTACTCGAGCCAGTTATCCTGTTGTACAGCCCATTTAGCATTCATAATATTGACTCGGGTTAGATAACCCAATTTTCATGCAACTTGAATGTTTGAAATTCAATGGAAGTATGTGCACAGCCATATCATTTATTTGTGTAATCAATTAGAGTTTCGGGGCGTGTATATGTGTGGTTGTGTGGGTTTGTGAATATTAGTAACTATAAAGGCGCGAGTGGTTACTAAATGTTACGTAGAGTTGCTTCCCTTGACGTATAAGGATTCGATGTTCGAATCATGTGCCCGGGAATGTCAACGTCGAAGCTGTTTTAATCTGTAAAGTTCAGCAACCAAGATACATTTCTTGCTTTCTTTCCTCTTAACGCTAACACCCAGTGGTGTCACTCAGTCAATCAAAGAGAAGTCGACAATAGTTTCCTTCTGTATCCCGAAAAATCCGTATCAGCAAATGGTCATCCTCCGTTTGGATTGTAATAGTAATCATTACTATCATCATCTCTACGTGATATCTCTGATGTTTCATTTATTTGACGTTTCGAAAATTGTCCCAATTTACGCCTAGTATGGATAGTATATGTCGAATATCAAACCACAGTTCATCTCTGGAGAGAGAATTACAGAAGGTACATAATAATTCGAATGTCCCAAGAGTTTCAGATGAGTGATCAACTGGATGGTTCGACCTGACGTCCACCTCTTCACATAGGCCATTGTGGCTTCTGGAGAGGTAAAGGTTACACGCTAATTGTCGTTTACAGCATGTTCATAGCGATAGCTAATAACATGCTAAAGTTCAAACAAATTACAATCTCTTCGTGAAAAAATCATTTGCTGTTAAATCAAGTACGTGCGTTCACCACAGACACGGAAGCACTTTGTTTCGGGTTATACCAGTTGGATATACTTGCTGAGGAATGCTTGTTAGGGCTCCTTGCCTCTAGGCAGGAGACCTATTGTAATCGTTCGGATTATTATTATTATTATTTATTATTCCGCCGATTTTTCTACCAAACATAACTCCTAAACCAATGCTCCGAATCGCTTACAACAAATCACACAGATGCGCACCGAGGTGTAAATATTCCCCTTAAAAATATCTAGGCTCTAGGCCCAATAGCAAAGGGGAGATAATTCAAAATTAATTCCAAAATTTCAGAATTTGACAGCAAATATCTCAAGAACTAATTGTTCCAACACTTCCAAATCTCTTGTACTAATGCACAATCGAATTCCCAACAATTTTGCCTGAAGGGTCAAGTCGCTAAAACGTTATTTTTGTTTTCAGTTTTTGGCCATGTTTTTCAGCAGTTTTCTGAGTAGTTGTCTGCCAGTATGTTAGATGAAGGCTTGGTGATTCCTGAACACTAATTGTTTTGACCGTAGACACAAGAACAACTGAGATACAGCCTTTTAAAGAGGGAACTATTTCTTCTCCGGAACTTCTTAAAAAAAAGGTACATGACCCCCGCGACCCCGGCTGTATTTGAAAGATCCGCTCGCCTGTCAACGTGTTCTGGCTCCGTTTTGGACGATGATGTCTAGCCCTCAGATACAATAGATAGAACTAAAGCCAAGGAGCCATCATCGTTGCCTGCAACTATATTTCACAATTTATATTGGTTATCTTAACATGCCATTGCAGCCTCTTTACCTTGTGTCTGGATTCTTCATATTCCAGCACATCAGACATTACCCATCAGATTAAGATGGGTAATTTCTTAGAGTCAGTGAACAGTAAATGCAGTAATTTTCTACATGTTCACAAACTGACTTTCATGTAGATCCAGACTGTAGTGATGTCTCTGTGAGACTAAGGATTCATTGATGGCAATATTCTTCTGCATATTCTGTCTTTTGTATCTTCTATATCTCTTGTGTCTCCTGTACATTCTCTATCTCCTGTACATTCTCTATCTCCCGTACATTCTCTATCTCCTGTACATTCTCTATCTCCTGTACATTCTCTATCTCCTGTACATTCTCTATCTCCTGTACATTCTCTATCTCCTGTACATTCTGTATTTTCTGAATATCCTGTTTCTAGTGTATCTCACATATAACCTCTGTATCTTCTGTATCTCTTATATCTCCTCTTTCACATGATATATCTTCTGCATCGCATGTATCTTCTGTACCTTCTGTATTTCCTGTATCACAGGGGCGGTGGCGTAGCCTAGTGCTTAAAGCGTTCGCTCGTCACGCCGAAGACCCGGGTTCGATTCCCCACATGGGTACATTATGTGAAGCCCAATTCTGGTGTCCCCCGCCATGATAATGCTAGCATATTGCTAAAAGCGGCATAAAACTAAACTCCCTCACTCACTGCTTCATATGTATCTTCTGTATCGTATGTATTTTGTGTACCATCTGTATGTTCTGTATGACATGTATCTCCTGTATCGTATGTACCTTATGTACCATCTGTATGTTCTGTATGACATGTATCTCCTGTATCGTATGTATCTTATGTACCATCTGTATGTTCTGTATGACATGTATCTCCTGTATCGTATGTACCTTATGTACCATCTGTATGTTCTGTATGACATGTATCTCCTGTATCGTATGTACCTTATGTACCATCTGTATGTTCTGTATGACATGTATCTCCTGTATCGTATGTACCTTATGTACCATCTGTATGTTCTGTATGACATGTATCTCCTGTATCGTATGTATCTTATGTACCATCTGTATGTTCTGTATGACATGTATCTCCTGTATCGTATGTATGTACGATATGTACCATCTGTATGACATGTATCTCCTGTATCGTATGTACCTTATGTACCATCTGTATGTTCTGTATGACATGTATCTCCTGTATCGTATGTACCTAATGTACCATCTGTATGTTCTGTATGGCATGTATCTCCTGTATCGTATGTATCTTATGTACCATCTGTATGTTCGGTATGTTCAGCACCTTCTGTATCTCCTGTATCGTATGTATCTTCCGTACCTGTATCGCCTGTATCATTCATACCTGCTATACTTTCTGGATCTCCTGTTGGTGTATCTTCCGTACCTGTCTCGGCTGTATCATCCATTCCTGCTATACCTTCTGCATCTCCCGTACGTGTATCTTCCGTACCTGTCTCGCCTGTATCATTCATCCCTACTATACCTTCTGGATCTCCTGTAGGTCTATCTTCCGTACCTGTCTCGCCTGTATGATTCATCCCTACTATACCTTCTGCATCTCCTGTAGGTCTATCTTCCGTACCTGTATCGCCTGTATCATTCATCCCTGCTATACATTCTGGATCGGTGAATATTGGAACAGCTGTATGGTCTATATCTGTATGGCTGTATGGGGAATATTGGAACAGCTGTATGGTCTATATCTGAATGGCTATAAGGTGAATATTGGAATAGCGGTATGGTCCATATCTGAATGGCTATATGGGGAATATTGGAACAGCCGTAGAAACTATATCTGTATGGCCGTATGGTGAATATTGAAATAGCGGTATGGTCTATATCTGTATGGCTGTATGGTGAATATAGGAACAGCTGTATGGTCTATATCTGAACGGCTGCATGGTGAATATTGGAATAGCGGTATGGTCTATATCTGTATGGCTGTATGGGGAATTTTGGAATAGCGGTATGGTCAATATCTGTATGGCTGTATGGTGAATATTGGAACAGCTGTATGGTCTATATCTGAATGGCTGTATGGTGAATATAGGAACAGCTGTATGGTCTATATCTGAACGGCTGCATGGTGAATATTGGAATAGCGGTATGGTCTATATCTGTATGGCTGTATGGGGAATTTTGGAATAGCGGTATGGTCTATATCTGTATGGCTGTATGGGGAATTTTGGAATAGCGGTATGGTCAATATCTGTATGGCTGTATGGTGAATATTGGAACAGCTGTATGGTCTATATCTGAATGGCTGTATGGTGAATATAGGAACAGCTGTATGGTCTATATCTGAACGGCTGCATGGTGAATATTGGAATAGCGGTATGGTCTATATCTGTATGGCTGTATGGGGAATTTTGGAATAGCGGTATGGTCAATATCTGTATGGCTGTATGGTGAATATTGGAACAGCTGTATGGTCTATATCTGAATGGCTGTATGGTGAATATTGGAATGGCGGTATGGTCTATATCTGTATGGCTGTATGGGGAATATTGGAACAGCTGTATGGTCAATATCTGAATGGCTAAATGGTGAATATTGGAATAGCCGCATGGTCTATATCTGAATGGTTATATGGTGAATATTGGAATAGCCGTATGGTCTATATCTGAATGGTTATATGGTGAATATTGGAATAGCCGTATGGTCTATATCTGAATGGCTATATGGTGAATATTGGAATAGCCGTATGGTCTATATCTGAATGGTTATATAGTGAATATTGGAATAGCTCTATGCTCTACCAAGGTATAAAGTCAAACAAATGGGGATCGTGAGGCTGGAACATAGCAAACTCAATAGAATACCCCTATCGTGTCTAGTGGAATATCTGTGTCCTGTATAATAGAATACCCTTACCGTGTCTAGTGGAATGGCTGTGCCCTGTACAATAGAACACCCGTATCGTGTCTAGTGGAATGTCTGTGTCCTGTATAATAGAATACCCCTATCGTGTGTAGTGGCATGTCTGTGTCCTGTACAATAGAATACCCCTATCGTGTCTAGTGG